GTCACAAAAAGGGTCATCACTTCGACGAGTGGTCGGTCGGCAAGAAAGGCGGCCGACAGACGGGTCGTAAGCATCGGTTCCGGGAGGCGAAGAACAAATTCCAGCGCATGGATGGCACCAAAAGACCTCGAAGTCGGCGCTCCAAAGGAAGACGCAAACGACAGAGACATCGAAGAGCCGGCAGAAGAGCTCAGAGAAGACACAGAAGACGCGCCGCTCGGGAAGAGGACGACGAGTCGAGCGGTGGCTCCCGGAGAGGACGCAGAGGAAGATCCAGAAGTCGGTCCCGAAGCAGATCTAGAAGTAGGAGTGGGAGCCGACGCAGAGGCAGATCTAGCCATCGCCGCAGATAATGTCATTCACACGACACACACCTCATTAGACATCACATCCAAGTCTATGTCTTCGCCATCAAAGTCTTCATTTCTTATATGCATTGATTTGTCCACAAAATTGTGTGTTTAGTCTCAATAAAAACCATTCATTCGTTTCAAACCATTTAAAGTGAAAATAAATGATTATATTTTAGATATAGATCTAGTATTCAATGAATTATATTATTTTTATTAAACTAAAAGTATTATGACTTCAAATCAAAAGATAGATCAGAAATGATTTTATTGAATGAAAAATGTTTATTAGTCTTAACTTTGAATACACTTTTTATTGACAGAAATAATTGATTTGAAACATAAAATTGATAACAAAATCGGGAGTAAGTGTCTGTCCACTGAATGACTGTATGGCTATAATTTTGTGTGCGTTTGAGAGACTACTGTACATAAATTGTGTATTTAAATTTTAAACTCCATTAACTCATTAATATAATAAAACAGGTGCATAGCCTATGCAGCATAGGTGCCAATAAACTAGATTTGTGTCTAACAGTTAGTTAATTGTTTTAAATTTGAAACAATAATCTCAACTGTCAAAAAGTATCTGCCTAAATCAGCCATTGGTTTATTAATGTTGGACTACTGTAGTAAATGCCAGTTTTATTTAAACAATTGCAATCAGGATTATTAGATTCAAATGGGAATATCAAACAAATTAATAACAAAAGTCAAACCAAATACATGTCTCAAACACAGACATCTCATACATTATCATTAAGTGACACCAATTGTATAGGAAAACCTAAATCATTAA